AGAGTAGTGGGGAGAAGTAAATACAATAATGTATATACATATTACTTAGTACAATGCCTGGCACTGAGTAAGTACACAATGATTTATATACATGTGCACACATCCTATTACCTTAAAATGTCAATTCAACTCAGATACGCCTGTGAGGAAGACTGCATGCTCAGCTGATGCACAAATTGATCTGTAACTATAAACTGATATTCACATAAATACAAAACTATAGGACTGGGAAAGGTCTCAAAGATCATCTAGGGCAAACCCCATTATGTAAGACACTGGGGTAGGGACTGCCCAGGATGGGAAGTGACGTGACCAAAGTCACACTCCTAACAAGGACAGAATCAACACTGGAATCCAGGCTTTTCTGTATCTTTTATAGAACTTAAAAATGCTTTCTGATGATCATTTCCAGATTTATCTTTTTTCTACCTCTACAATGGTGATTTGCCTATATACTATATTATACTAATCAGATTTGCCTACATACACCTTTTATATAATCTAAAGCATAGGTACATATAGAACTAGCCTCTTAAAATGCTTTGTGATTATTATTACTGGACTGACCTTATTCTACTACTAAACTGGAAGTTTCTTGGTACAGGAAGTATGCCCTTCTTCCTATTTGTATTAGCCAATTACCAAACACTTAGCAGGCATTCACACATTTCTTCATTTCAAAGTCACACTGGTGGGGAAAGAGCTAAGACCAAAAAAAAAGGCAAGCTTTTTGATTACTACTTCTAGGTTAACCATGAACTCTGAGAGACCTAGAGACCTGGAAACTTAGAACACAGACTATCAAACATCTAAACAGCCAACTTAGGCACTAATACTCCACTTCTACTAGACTTGAACATCCTAAATGGAATCAAGTAAGTCATATATTTAAGTCAAGATACTTGAAATTAATAAGCAAGTATATTTACAGTAGATTAGTTATAAAAGAGGAACTGAAAAGCAGCCGCTGTCTTATGATCTACTTCCTTAGAGAAAAACCAAAGAAAGAATTAGCTGAATCAGAGAATGCTGGTAAAGTTTCTATATTCTCAATTTTAAAATTAATTTAGTTTTTCTGGTTATTACTGGGAACAAAAATAAGTTATCTGTGGAGGACATTATGCTCAGTGAAATAAGCCAGGTGGAGAAAGACAAATGCCAAATGATTTCCCTCATTTGTGGAGTATAACAATGAAGCAAAACTGAAGGGACAAAATAGCAGCAGACTCAGAGATTCCAAGAATGAACTAGTGGTTACCAAAGGGGAGGGGTGTGGGAGGGCGGCTGGGGAGGGAGGGAGAAGGGGATTGAGGGGTACTATGTTCAGTACACATGATGTGGGAGATCACGGGGAGAACAGTGTTGCATAGAGAAGGCACATAGTGAATCTGTGGCATCTTACTACACTGATGGACAGTGACTGCATTGGGGTATGGGTGGGGACTTGATAATATGGGTAAATGTAGTAACCACATTGTTTTTTCATGTGAAACCTTCATAAGAGTGTATATCAATCATACCTTAATAAAAAAAAGTTATCTGTATAAATTTGTTTACTAAGCTTTTATCATTCAATTAGCTGTTGTCTAGGTGTAGGAGCACAGTGACATGCCTCAGAACTAAAGTGTTTCAGGTCCTTAATGAGCCTGCTCAGGAAAGCAGCATAGCTGAGCCACCAAAAATTTATCTCAAGTCAGGTATCTGGAAAAAAGCACCTGACTGTAATTATCTGCCCTGTAATTTTCAGTCAGCAGTGGACTACTTGTTGCATAAAAGTTGGGAGCCCAAACACTCATGTATAGACCGCCCCCAAATACTTTCACAGTGAAGACTGACTTTAAAGTATATCTTAGAAACTTCCAAACTTTACAGCCATATACAAAACAGATTTGTACGAAAAATTTTAATTCAAATGGCTTTTTTTCAAATATTCTCTTAATTTCTGTCTACTTTATCTACCTAGCTTTGGGAAATGTTTGTTAAAGTCTCCTTTATTAATGTGCCTGTTGATCCTTTTATATCCTTGTAATTCTGCTTTATGATAGTTGCTGCTCTATTACAAGAAGTCCTAAGCTTGCATGGCTCTTACACACAACATTTTCAGTTACCATGTTTTAATTACATTAATACTAGTTCCTCAACAACATGGTTCAGATTTCACTTGTGATGGCATATTAACTCTGAGTAGTTTATAAAGTGCAAGCTCTGTAGCTAGCTCTTCAGTCCACAAATCACTACATAACAGATGCGTGCCATGATCACTGACCAATTATGTCACTTCTTTCAAAGTCTGTCAGTAACTGGACATTGCACCCCTGTTATTCAGTCAGCAAGGACAGAGAGCAAGGCTTGTAGTTGTGCTGTCTCGTTTCCCAGTGATAAACCCATGTGACATTTTACAAAAATAGACATTTTACAAAAAGAGGGAATTGGCCAAAAAAGATACTAGTGCAGCTAAAACACTAAAGTGATAATGATAGGAGGGAAACTGAGGTCAAATACAAATGGCATTGTATAAAATAAACAGTAAACTGTGGAATTGTTGACACTACTGCTGTTTGAGAGACTCTAGATATTCAGCCAGAGGAATTTAGTGAAGGCAAACATCAATATAAGTGGCTATGACGAATGTCCCAGAAGAAATTACATGGACAAAAAACTTCAAAGGAACTCTTGGAAAGCATTTCACAGCAATGAAAACACAAAGGATAGAATGTTGGAACCTAAGCCAAACTTAGAAGTATGACAATTTACGAAGGCATAGAGAAAATTCTCACTCTGTATCAAAAGTTATACAAAGAAAGCAAGCACTCTTGACATTTTTTCTTTATAAGTTTTTTAAAAAGAAATGAAACACTTTAATTCTCAATGTACCAATATTAAGACCTTGTTTTGACCAAAATGTTTACAGCGGTGACTTGTTGACATTAGAAAGAGTAACTAATACTTCTCACGATTTTTTGGCTTGCATGGTCATATTTGCAGTAACACACCACTGTACAAAGTGAGAACTGTCTGTATTTGGTTCCAATTTCTCCACATCCTTACCAACACATTACAGTCTGTCTTCTGATAATAGCCATCCTAGTGGGTGTAAAGTGGTTATCATAATTTGATTTGCATTGCCTTAATGACTAATGATGTTGAACATCTTCTCATATACATATTGGAAATTTGTACATCTTTGGAGAAATATCTCTTTAAATCTTCTGCCCATGTTTAAATTGGGTTCATCACTTTATTTTCAGCTGAATCTATTTGTTAGATCATCTCATTTTTTTTAATAGGTAAGTTAAGCCTAAGGCAGAGGTTGACTACACAGTCAACATCAGCAAGCTGGGCTGTGTGGAAATTTTAGTGAATGTTTTGGGTGGAACAGGGAAAAGAAGGAACCAAAGCACAGCTTAAGTCTAAAATAACTGAGCAACTGAAAGAACCCATAGCGGAACTAGGTGGATGAAGGCCATTTAAAGTGGGTGGAAGTGTGGAACAGGGTGATGGGAGTGAAGAGGACTTAATGATAGGTAACACAGAGCTGGTCACAGTGTAAGTCAAAAGAATCTATTTAAGATCCAAGACAGCCAATATCATTTTGTAGTAATTCATGTACTGAATTCATTTCTGTATTGAACTTTCTCACAGGACTGACTGGAAGCAACTTGAGGGCAAACACAGCAACTTAATCATCTTTGTATCCTGTCAGCATTTAGTAGAATGAGGGGTATATGTTGGTGTACTGGTATTCTTCAATACATTCTTAAACTTGCTAAACTGACGTTCAATGAAAGGCTCTGCATGGGTCAGAACTCAGCAGCTCACAAGTTTGAAGGGAGTCAGGCTGTCCATAACACAAGGGAAAAGGGAAACTGATTACTGGAAGAGACAAAGCCCTACCTCTTTTAAGTCATTACATAACCCAAGCAAGTAATATACTGATATGGGGCAGGAAATAACAACCACAGTCTCTTACACTGGTTTTAAGCTTTAGAGCGCAATTTTTCAGCTATTATTCATACGGTGGACATTTCCTGAGCACTCACATGTGCCAGGTAGTGCATTAAGCGCTAGACAGGGATGAACAACATAAGCAGTCACTGTCCTGTTGGGGCTCGTAATCGAGGAGGTTTGGTGTGCATGGGTAGAGATAAACACTCCTAGCTGTGGGAGCAAAGAAGAGAAAGCAATTTTCTGCCTGGGTCTGTAGGAGAAGAGAAAGCACCAAAAAGGTGACATACGAGCTGGGCCTTTAAGAATGCTGAAGTTAACCCACCAGGGACAATTATGAAGTGTCACCACCAAGGCCATGGAGAAAAGTCTCGAATCAGCCCCGGCTGACTCCTATAAAAACGGAGGCAGGTGTTCCCATCAGTAATCAACCCCATTTCATAGGATACAGTGACCCAGAAAGAAAAAGGCGAATCCCAGGGTCATATTGCGTGTCAGGGGAGACGCCAGGTAAGAATCCAGGTGGATGCACACCGCGCACTTTCGAGCTCAGCCCATATTTTGGTACCTGTAGAGAACCGGAAGGTGGCAAGGGTCTGGACCCGGAAGTTGGGAGGATGTCTCATAAGAGAGACCCTTGCAACCATTTGCACGACTCTCTCAGACACACCCTCTGTCCCAAGCTCCGCAGTCACTCACCCGCCGCTAGGCGAGAGGAAATCGGAGTCGTCTTCGTCGCCTGCACCAAACATTGCGCCGACTTTAGCCGGGCTGGAAGGAGGAAGTCGGAGTGCTTCCAGGAGCTTGCCCCACCTACGTCGCGAAATGCCGCGGCGGCGTGCTGCTTTCCGGCAGAACAAACTATCGCATGGTGGCCTCGCGGAGAGGAGACCAAGCTCCGGAGAAGATGGGGCAAAGGCAAATAGGAGGACCTCGCGGGCACGCGCGCTCGTGACGTACGGCCTCTTCAGCCGCAGAGGCGACGAAATCCGCGGGAGCTCCGAAATCCTGCTCAAGGATTGGCCAGCGAAGCAGGGGGCGGGATAGGGGCGGGGTAGGGGCGGGAGTCGGTGGCCTCCGTGGCGGTCGTGGACACGTCAAGCCGGCAGAAGTGGAGGGGGCTTAAGAAGAGTGCTGGAGGGTTGACGGTTTAAGGTTGTGAGAGGGAGACGCTGGTGGCGAGGCTCGATCTGGGAAGGTAAGGCATCCTCCGCCCGTCGCAAGCCTGACACGGGCACATTTCTTTCCCCTCCGGGACAAGGACTCCCCGCCACCCCCGCTTCAGCGCCACTCATTTTGCTCGGCCAAAGGAAAAAGGGCCCGGAACTTGCAGTCTGGAGACCAGCGTCCGGCCCGGCCCCTGCGGTGACGTAGTTGGAATGACCTGGGGTCAGGGTGTTCGGTGCCTCAGTTTCCCCGTCTATAAAACGGGCCTTATGCCTCTTACCATTTGTCCCTGTGGCCGACCTCGCTGTTTATTCAACGGGATATTTGTCCAGTGCTGATCAAGAAGCTTTTAGATCTCAGAGGTCACTGAATTCAATCCCAGTCTCTTCTTATCCCAGAATTGACAGATCGGGAAATAAGGGAATGATCACTTGGATGACTAGTCCGAGGTCACACGGAGTAAAGCAGACTGGGCTGGATCCCTGATCTATTCATTCAAGACTTAGTGAGCTGATCAATGAACAAGAAACTTATCAGCCTTTGAACACTGTGTACTCTTGCAGAGTGGTTATGGTTAGACTGTGGCATACGTCTGGAGAGAAGTCCTCTCTCTAGAGTCCACCTATGCAGATGAGGTGAAGGAGAGCTGGGATATTCTGTTGGTGGGTGATGAAAAGGAGGAAACTGTAGAAGCTGAAAAATCCCCACTCCAACCTTGGCATGAGTTTTGTTTAGTCTTCCTGCCACAGACCCAAGTCCACATCCACTGTTGCCGATTTCTCTGTTGCTGATTTCCAACCTGTCTGTATCTTATATAAGTATTTTGTTTGGTTAACCTGATACAATTCTTGGAACAATCTTTGGGCAGGCCGGGCTTAGCCAAGTAATGGATAAGCCGATAATGTCCGCTATAGTGTCCATGCCTATAGATCTCACTAGAGTTCTTTCACTCAGGCTTCTCAATCACGTTAGCGCAACAGGTGTCCCTTACCTGAATGTTTTAATTGATCAGCATGAAATTGAAGTGAAGTGATTGATAGCCTTTTCCCGGAGAACTTTGTACCTCTAGGCACTTCCCTTGTTCTGTGTTTTATTAGTCTGTGTACTTCTAAATTGTAAGTTTCCTCAAAGACAGGAACGGTTTTATTCATCTTGTCTGTCTCCTGTGTCAGAGGACTATTCCTTCTTACTCATAGTGGATTCTTATTAATTCTTTGTTAGATTGAGCAATGGGATTAATCCTTTTCCCTTTTCCTTGGTTTGCGCACTTGGGAATTTTTCCCCGTGTGACCGAGAGAGCCCAGAGGTAGTTCTTGTCTTTTATAGGTAGCTTCCAGAAAGATAAAAATGCTGTCCTAGCTGTGAACTGTCTGGGTTGCTTAATTTCTTTCACTGATTGAAGATTATTTTATTATTTTTTAAAGCTCTAGGGGAGGGGAAAAGGCAGGAATGGGATAGCTAGAAATACTGTATGTAACTAAATTTTTTAGTAAAGTATTCCTCTATTAAACTGAGGGATAGTGCGGTCGTCTGCTTCCTGTGTTTATTGTACAGATTAAGATGGTTAAAGCTTCGGAGGCTGACCGTGTTAAAGCAATGATGCAACTGGAATCTAAGCACTGGAATTGGACCCTCTGCAGTTGGTCTGTTTAGAACATGACCTTGGCTACTTCTCAGGAGAAAAAAAAAGGTGAACTGCACAAGTAATTTAGCTCTTTCTAACCCCAGTCCCAGTACTGGTGATCATTCTAGCACTGTAACATCTGCGTAGTGATTTTTTCAAAATGCTGAAGGATCACTTGAGCTCCTATCTTGCATTCTTGAGTCAGGTTGTTTTATTCAGGGTGTTCAGTAGTCTTTTTAAATAGGCAGGAACCTAAAATGTGGACCAGGCTTTTCAGTGATTGGGACACCACATATACTCCTGCGCAGATCACCATTATGGGAACCCAGCTGCTGATTTTGATTGGAAGTATGAGGAAGGAAAAGATGGTAATGAGTCTTCCTCAGTCTTTCAGACTTGAATTGCAGAATTGGATAGACCTAAAAAGCCACTGTCTTCCCAAATTAGAATATTGAACTAGAATTCAGGAAACCTAAATTCCGATCCCAGCCTGCCAGGCTCCATAAACACCTTGTAAAAGGAGTGCGTTAGAATCAGATATCCACTAAGCACTGCTGGGATACAGAGGTAAGTAAGGCACAATCTTAATAACAAATTTGAATTAAGCATTTTTGTTTGTTTGTTTGATTTTTGCTTAAGTACACAGCTTTTCAATGTATTTATAAAATGTATCAATCCCGTAAAGATTAACCAAGAAGCAGCAATTTTAACAGTTCCTTTTAAATTATAAGCAATTGTGCTATAAAAATGACAATTTTTATATACAGGTATGCCCATACTAATCTGTACTAATGAATAAATTTTAAAATGAATAGTTGAAAGTTATAACCAAGTTGGATCATAGGTGTAGTGATAAAGATATGAATTGAATATAGGTTTGGGAGGGTCAATGTAGTATTCTTTCTATTCAGTCACTGAAAACAGAAGAATGTCAGAAAACACAATTCAAGAAATAACAGAAAACCTGCGATGTATAAGGTACTATGCTGGATGTTGCCTGTTATAGGAAAATGAGTAAGTCATTATCCTGTTCTCACAGTGCTTGTAGTTGAATAATGAGGATAATTGAAGTATATAAATAACCATAATAGAAGACGTAGCAAAGTTAGTCCCATAAGTGAAATTAATTCGTATAGGATTTCAAAGGAAGAAAAGATCATAACTAGTTTGGAGGAGGATGTGGGGGTTAGATAATGGGCTTTGAAGAAGAATGGGATTCCAAGCGGAAGCGAGAAAGTAAGGCTTTCCAGGTTGAGGGGATGGCCTTGGCAAAAGCACAAAGGCAGGAAAGAATGCGTAGATTTCTTAGAAGAGTTGCCCTCTTTTCTGATGCTATTAGGGCCAATAGTTGGTCAACTGAAAAGGTAAGTTAAAGCAGGGAATCATACAGATATTAGTTACAGACCTTAAACACTTTAACTTAAAACATAAACATCTTTTTGCCATTCTTTCAACATAAACCTTTTCTTGGAGTGTGGGTTTCAGGGATCTGCAAACTACAGCACGAGAGCTAAATCTTGTCCTAGGCTGCTGCCTGTTTCTGTAAATACAGTGTTATTAGAACCCAGCCACTCTCATTTGTTTACGTATTATCTATGGCTACTTTCAGATAGAAGGTTGAGTTGAGTAGGTGTGAGTATCTGTGAGACTTACCTTTACCTAGTCTTTCAAAAGCTTCCAACTTGGTTTTCACATAAGTGACTACTAGGGAGTTCGTGTAGTATAGTAGTGACATTTTTAAGCTCTGGAGCCAAATTGTTTTGCCTTTTCTTAGTGTATAGGCCTTGGGCAAGTTGCCCCGTTTCCTTCTTTGTAAAATAGGGACAATGATAGCATCTAGTTCTTCCCGTTCTTATGAAGATTATAGGAGTTAATTCATGTAAAGCACATAGAGCCTAGCGGTTAATGCTCAATATTAGCTGCTGCTGTTGTTTTTCTCTTCTCATTTATACTTCATTGCTTTACATAGTATTGTGTTAACTTACATGTTTATAATCATAAGCCCAACTGGCATAAGTTGGTTTGTGAACAAACAACTGACACCCTTGGTAAACACTTAACTTCCCTGAGGGAGAATAGAAGTGTTGCTCCCATGATATTGGAGAATAGCCTGGCTAGTGTGTTAATCAGTCAGGTTGGTTAAGAGAGTTGGTTAAGATATTTTGCTAGAACAGTACACATAGGAAAGTAGTCGATTAAAATTTAAGAGGAGACCAAAGCCATATTTGTCAAATACCTTGAAGGCCAAGGTGATGAGTTTGTACTTAGCCCAGGTGGAAATGGAATTTTTTATTCTAAATGACATGATTGATATAAAAAAATTCAAATGGTTTAGGTGTGTATGAAGTAAGAAGTAAAAGTCTCCCTAGTCCTATTCCATGTGAGTGGCCGCTTCATTTTTCTAATAGTCCTTAGAATGTGGAGTTGTGAAGATTGAAGAAGATAAGGTATGGTAAACACTACCTGTGGCACCTGTTAAAAGCTTTAATCTAGTTTTTCTTTCGATTATAATCTCAATTTTGAATTGAGAAAAATTAAGTTTCTAGACTGAATGCTGAGTAAAATTAAGTGACTATTCTGCAGGTGACAATTTATATCATACTCTTAAGAGTCTCTGCTACTTAAGTCTCTTCCTCTCCTTGTTCCAATTTGACTCTGCTATTGACTCCTTTTTGCACCTTTCTCACCAGGAGTGCTACAAAAGAGAAAAAGGTGACATAATGATTACTGGAAAAGCAAGAGTTTACAGTGACAAGATGACCTCAACAAGTAGATGTCAGATAAAATCAGTGCCCAGGCAGCACCCAGCCAGTAAAGTTGGTAAAGGCATGACTGGGGGAAAAGGGAGGTAGGAGAGAGGACTGGTTGCTGATCCTGCACTCCTACATGCACCTTTTAGCATTATAAAGCCATTAAAAAAAATCAAAAGTTTTCTGTAGTGTGTATGAGAAGTATGAGAAGTCATCAGTAGTCTGATATTTAACACATTAAAATGAGAAGCTTATGCCAAGAAAAATCTTACAGTAGGGCCTGGGAAGGAAGTGCTTTTGAAGTTCTCTTGCTTTGAGTAATATAATTTCATGACTTAGGTAACATCCCCAATCAGAGGAGGGGCCCATCCTTAGGAATACAGAGCCCTGCAGAGAAGGAAAGGCTTGAGAAGGGTCCACCCTACCTCTTTTCCTTTACACAAAGGCCGTACGTTTTTGTATACAACCTGCTTTTGTAGGCTGAGAACATTATGCAGTAGAGCATAATGAAGTGGAAAGCTGCACTGCAAAAGTAAACAAGAAATGCTTTGGAGGGAACTCTTAAAGAGACCAAAACTAGCAACCAGTGAAATGTCAGCTGACTTTTTTTAGCCAGGTTGAGTGTTTCCCTAAATAGATAGTAGAGTTTTTAATAGA